ACACAGGGTATGTCTACACTACACACTAATCCTGGACTCTGACTCAGTTTTGAGCCTAACCCCCCTTTTCTTCCACACATAAATTAGTCTGACTCGGGTCAGCAACCTCAGAACCTGGGTGCTAGGACCTTGTTGGGGGGGATCGGGTCAGAGTCCCACTGTGACTCGGGACCAAGCCCTATAATTTTGCAGTGCAGATGCAAGTCAAGCTGCACGCTCTATAGCAGGGATTGGCAACCTTTGGCACGCAGCCTGCCAGGTAAGTACCTGACGGGCCAGGCCGGTTTGTTTACCTGCCGTCACAGGTTCGGCCGATCGCGGCTCCCACTGGCCGCAGTTCGCTGCTCCAAGCCAGTGGGAGCTGCGGGAAGCGACACGGGCCGAGGGATGTGCTGGCCGCCACTTCCCGCCACCCCCATTGGCCTGGAGTGGCGAACCGCGGCCAGTGGGAGCCGTGATCAGCTGAACCTGCGGATGCGGCAGGTAAACAAACCGGCTCAGCCCCCAGGGTGCTTACCCTGGCGTGCCACGTGCCAAAGGCTGCCGATCCCTGCTCTATAGAAAAGGTCTGTGCAGTGCAGTATGGACACATCAGCAAGGCTGGGAGACCCAGGTCCAGCCATTGTAAACCCAGTTTTTACAACACAGTGTGGGCTTGGAAACACCTCACAAATCCAGGCCACATGGGCCCAGGCTTTGTAGATGTACCCAGAGAGAAAATAAGAGAGAGAGATAGCAAATGGATGAGACAGATACAAAAGACAGTGGAGAGATGAGAGAGAGAAGGAAGAGATAGACAGAAGCAGAAGCTGGTGGAGGAGTGACACAGTGACCAAAGCACTCAGAGATTCTTGTCATCAGAGAAGCTGTGATAAGCCTCTTTTGTTCTGTGTCCCTGTTTTTTCTTTCAGATACAACAAAGACAGTTCAACAAGGCTTCCAACTCAACCTACTGCGTGTTCATGGTCAACAAACCCTACGCCATCACCTGCTCAGTGGTGGCCTTCTACATTCCATTCCTCTTGATGGTGCTGGCCTACTATCGGATTTACATCACGGCCAGGGAGCACGCCCGCCAGATCCGGATCCTCCAGCGTGCAGGGGCGCCCACAGAGGGGAGACACCACCCGGATCAGCATAGCTCTCACCGTATGAAGACAGAGACCAAAGCTGCCAAGACCCTGTGTATCATCATGGGGTGCTTCTGTCTGTGCTGGGCCCCATTCTTTATCACTAATGTCGTGGACCCGTTCATAAATTATACTGTACCTGAGCAGCTGTGGACAGCTTTCCTGTGGTTGGGCTACATCAATTCAGGGTTGAACCCCTTCCTGTATGCCTTCCTGAACAAGTCTTTCAGACGTGCCTTCCTCATCATTCTGTGCTGTGGAGACGAACGCTACCGAAGGCCTTCCATCTTGGGGCAAACTGTCCCCTGTTCCACCACCACTATAAATGGATCGACGCACGTGCTAAGGTGAGTGCTCCTCAGAAGCAGCAGAGTACTTCGAAAGCAGAGAGTACTTTTGAAAGCAGTTCACTGTTGTCAATGGGCTTTTATTGAAGGGCAGATTTCTTCTTCTGTTAGGGCATGGGAAGGGTTAAATTTCCAAAGGAGGTGCAATAGGAGCACCTGAAGGCAGGATTTGTGCCTGCGCTCTGGCATTTGTGTGCACACAGCAGGTAATGGCATGCCTGCCACTGTGTTCAATTCCTTGATTTCCGTGTGAACAGAAAAGATTATGCAGGTGCAATAGGCATGTGAACATTTTTGAAGGGGCATTTCAGTTTAAATGTTTCACCCCAATCGGTCAAAATTAACACCACTGAGATGCTGTCATTCCTCTCTCTGGTTAGCAAGGAGCCATTATCTTTCTGTGTTCTATCATTCCTTTCTCTAAAATCCCAGTCATTTCATTTTCTAAACCAATGCCAGGGGCCTTCATTCTATGGCATGTTATTGTAATGGTTTACCCTGTGTTTTTTGTCATGTTCACAGGCAGCGAATGGCCACCAGCTAAGGTATTTTAATAATGTCTCCATTTTAGTCAGTGGATCTAAGCCTATGGGTCCTGTGAACAGCTGTCTGCACTTAGAGCGTGGAGCAGATAAGGGGTCATGGGCACTTGAGACTGGGAGCAGGATAAGGTAGGCTGGTGAAGATCAGGCACCTGATGATTCTCTGGAGGAAGTACAAGTGCTGTGTGAAAAACACCCCTTTTGACTCCCTGTCAGAGGATTAGGGAAGTGGGTGGTGGAGTTATATGGGGGAATGAGATAATCAGTGCTCCTCGGAATGTCAGGGTGAGCTCCTCTTATTCTCTGATGAATGGGGATGTAAGCAGCACGTCCACAACACAGTGGTGTGTTGATTGGGGAGGACAGTAATGAACAGCTCTAATCCCCAGAGTGTAATGCCCAGGTGATTATTATCTACAGCCAGGAGGCTCAGTTCCGAAGCTGAACTCCCCCAAACTGGGTTCCATCAGGGGATTCGTCTCAGACATATTTTTATTGTAAACATCCATGTCCTCTTGAAATGGGCTTCTGAGGTATAATGGATGGGAGAGGGGAATGACTCAGCACAGTAACTCATGCACTCAAGAAGGCCTTTTTTTAGGTTTCCAGGCCACTAACAAGGGTTTTTAAAAATACCTTCTGGTGATTAAAATTGGGTTTCCGGGGCTAAGCTCCCTGCGCCCTCATTTTGTAACTGAGTCTTGGCTCTGCGCCACTCTGCTGTGTGAGCTGTTATTTATATCATAGCAGTGTTCTCAGGGATGAGCCAAAGGCTGGTCTCCTGAAGGAGGATTTACAGAGCAGCCAGGCTGTCTCTGGCATTGCTCATTTTGAAGTACCTCTCCAGTCCACCATAAGCAAGTCAATAATTTTCCTGGGGCTCTATAGCAGTGGATGTTGTAAACATGTCATTGGGAGGGAATAGACTGTGGTCTTACAGTAGTGCTGGATGGTGTTTCATTGTTGTGAGGCTCAGTATTTTATGCGAACAGTCACTCCTGGGACTAGCCAGTGGCTCTGCCATTTAGAAGGTGCAGGATTTTGAGGACACCACAGTGGTCTGGAGAGGAAGGGAGGGAGACCTGCATCTAGTTTTAGTCAGTGGGTACTGAGATCTGGCACTTGACTGTGAAGCATGGAAGCCAGAGGGTCTGCAATGCACTTCCTTCCACTCTTCAATGCATAATGACTTGAGTTTGGGGGAAAGGGAGCTGTGAAAGAAGCTCATCATGATTGGAGGGGATGCGTTGCTTGTGGTTTTCCTATCTCCAGCATTGAGCACCCCAGTTAGTCATCACAATGGCCTCTTACCATCAAACTCTTCTTGGACACAGCTGTGTCCTGCAGCTAGAGAACATGGTGAAAATCAGTCCCTGCAGAGCTAGAAATGTACACAAGATCATCACAAGGGAAAACACTAGAGCTGGAGAAGGCTAATGGGTTATAACAAATGGGATTCCGTATCTTAGCTGAGATCACAGGAGGGTTATTTCTGTTTGCAACCTTCTCTACCTGCATCTTGCCTTTCCTTGTGTTCGCCCTCTTGCAAGTCCCCCAATATGTGAATGAATGGCAAGTATCGGAACCACTTGCATAGGTTTCCTGTGCTCCTATCATTCTGTTAGACTGGATGGAGCATTAGTATAATGCCCCATAGAGAGTAATTCTACATAGGGCAGGAAGATTGGCCAGGTGACCTTTAAATCTTTTCCACATTTACCTTCTCTGACTCTGATGACAAGCCATAAAGAAAGCTTTTGGGTAAGATTGTATCATTATCTCTTTAGTGTTCTTATATAACTGCAAACTCAGATCACTTCCCATTGGCTCACCATCATCTCTCAATACCTCCCAAGCCCTGCTTAGCATGGCAGTACTTAGATACTTGCGTTACATTGCAGGTTTCCATCTCTTCCCCCTTGGAGGCTGGAATGATCAAATGGGCTGCTCAGGAATGCCGGCTCTGCACCCCAGTCCTTCAGAGGCCAATTACCTTTTGGTTTACCTCAGCTTTCTAAACTGAGGGGGGAGGTGTGTTAGTTATTTCCCACAGGGTGGGGGGTGGGCGGTGGCGGTGCCCAGTTATGATCTGTGGGCAGCTATTCTTGCCTGAAAGCTTTTCTTAATTAAATTGCATCAACACTTTTGTTTTAAACACAAAGCATATTGTTATCAGCAAGGAAGGAGGATAAATTCAGTGAGCTACATTCTCCCAAGCCCTAACTTACACCTCTCTTCACCAGCCTGGTAACCCTGGGATCTTCACTCAGCAGGTGGGTGTTGACGCCCTATCTTGGAATTTTCTGCTGGATTGGGGCTGTTCTAGGTTATGTCCCAGGCTTCATAGGAGCCCCATTGGAGAAGATGCGCTGGTGCCGTGATGAATCAACACATTGCCAGGATAGAGAGCCAATGATCCTTCTGTGGCCAACATCTCCCATTTATGGGGCTCTGACAACCTCTACAGGTCCCTCAGCAGAGGGGAATGTCAGCTGTTTTCTCCATTCTACCAGAGTCAGTGATGGCAGAAGTTAGAGTAGACCCTTTGCTGAGTCCTTCTTCCAAAAATTCAGGGAATTTCTGGGTTTGGTTAAAAGGATTTAACTCATTCAACCCAGTAGGAAAGCAGGTGTGAATGATAATGTTCATGGGAATGGGTGTCTCATACACGTCAGATGCCTCAACCCTCACTTGGCTCAGAATTTTCATTGGGTCACATTGTTCCCTCCTCATCCAAACCATTTCACTCTCGCTGAGTATCGTGCATCTAATGAATTTCTAAGGAAGACTGGAGGTTCCAGATGCAAGGGGTGCATTTGTCTTTGTTTAAGATGAGACACAGACGTTGTTCTGGGATGCGACTGACTTTTAAGAATGTTTTCTCATCAAAGAATGCAGTGTTTTATTTTTCTGACAACACTAAGTGTCAAAATGTTCTGACAGAGCCATTTTAGGATTTTTCACATTTATGTTAGGAATTGAAAAAAAAACACTCTGAGGATCAGAGTGTGCTAAAAACACTGTAATGTTTCCCTCACCAAATACAAACTGACACAATTGTAGACAGATTTTATTGCCTTTCGTCTGTGTGTGTGTTCTCATGAAAGATAATAGCATTGTAGTCCTAGAAAACTGAACTTCTCCAGGGTATAGGCATAACCCAGGCAGAGATAGTGCATGTCACTCTGACCATGTGCCTTAATCACAAATCAGCACTTGGAGGTGCCAGCAGACATCAGTTTCCATAGTGCTCATTCAGTTCTTCATCTTTCTGTCAATCAGTGCCAAAGCCACTGGGACTTTGAATGAGACCACCAAGCTTTCCCTCCCTCCCGCCCCCCAAACATACTACTGAATAGCAGGGCCGGCTCCAGGCACCAGCCGAGCAAGCTCGTGCTTGGGGTGGCAGATTCTAAGGGGCGGCTTCCCTCCAATCCTTTTTTTTGCTTCGCCGCTTCAGCCGCCCCGCAGGTTTTTTGTTGTTGTTGTTCGCCGCTATGGCCGCCCTGTAGGGAGCAGCGGTGCAGAGGAGGGGACCGCCCAGCTGGGAGCAGGCTGAGCACTCCGTCTGCCCCAGCTGGTGCCCGGTCTGCAGCAAGCCCAGCAGGGCAGCCTTCCTCCCTCCCCGCTGACCGGAGCGGCGCGGAGCCCTCCCGGCAGGCGGCGTAGCGGGAGGGGCTGCGTGGCGAGTGCCCAGCTGAAGGAAGCCCTCGGCCACCCCCACTTCTCTCTCTCTCCCCCCCCCCACTCTCTCCCCTTCTCTCTCCCCCTGCTAGTCGGGGCGCGCCCTCCGCTGCCCGGGGCACATCTGCAGTGCAGGGAGTGCCCCTGCACCCTGGCTCCGGCTGCCCCGCAGGGTTTTTTTTTTTTGGCTTGGGGTGGCAAAAAAGCCAGAGCCGGCCCTGCTAAATAGCTATTAGATGGAAACAAGTTGCAATCACAACTAGAGCTGTCTCTAAGGTGCCACAAGTACTCCTCGTTCTTTTTGCTGATACAGACTAACACGGCTACCACTCTGAAACTAGAACCGTGTGCACAGAGGGAATAAAATTCTGTACAGATATTCATTCAGCTTTGAAAGTGCATTTTTATTTGATCAATTACAACCCTTTGGGATTTGCTTTCTGCAAACATATGAGCACTTGAGCTCTACTAGAACAAATACTCCTCCAAAGTGCATTTTTATCTTAATGTCTGAATTTTCACCTACATTAATTTTGAACTATACATACAGTTGCAAAATTCAAGCAGTGTCGGTGCAAACTGTGAATTATAAAGTCTGCAGTCATCTCTACAATGTGGAATTCACACTGTATTAGTGCTTTACAATTTATGTCATTTACCTGAGTTAGCTACTCAAGTTACAGCATGAATTATGTATCTAATTGTGATATTTGCAATTCACAATTCTAGTGAACTGCAGATTCAGAAATTATTCGTTGAAAGAATTAGGATCAG